GAGAGAGAGAGAGAGAGAGAGAGAGAATGGGAGGAAGAGACTGCAGGCGGTATTTACTCGACTGCTAACTAGTACCAGAAGACGTTAGTGAGTAGAGAACAGCGAGGATAGTTGTCCGCGGAGCCTCCTTTTTGCCGGCACGAAACACTTAAGACCACGTCGAGTGCCTTTTAATCCTATTTGTCTTCCGCTGCGCTCCAGTAGCGTAGTCTGGAAGTGCGACTCTGGAAGTTGTCAGATCGAAGTAAATATTTTGGTTGCCTTCGGTAAGGAGTAGTCGAGTTGAATTCTAAGGCATAACTCCGGAACGTTAATTCGCCGAAAAATAGGCTTTCCGCGTAATGATCGCAGGAACACGACGGAAATTTATTTGACAATATTAAAAGCATCTTTTAAAATATTCTTTGTCTTTACTATATTTTTAGATGCATTTAATATTATTAAATATTGTAAGACAAACATGAAGTTTAAGTCTTAAAAAAAAAAATGTTTCGGCGTCCACAAGCAAATGCTTGGTCAAATATCTCGATTACATTCTATTTAATTTATTTTAGTCACAATACTTGATTATTGTAATTACATTATCCAAGTCTCATGTAACATCTTTCAACGCCGTCTTGACTTGTTTTCGTAATCTCTGGCTAATATCAATAAGAACTTTATTAAAATATTGAAATATTGATATGGAAAACTGACTGGTTTAGAAAAACTTCCGCGAATCTCCTGATCGTCTCGCATTTGTCTCGCTCGTAAAATCTCCATTAAGCATCTACGACGTGCGTGCGTGATAAAGGATCGGCTCTTCGGCCAAAGGGTGGCGCGATGTCTGCACAAGTACCTCTCGTTCGCCACGCCATTGTCGGCCGGCCGGGCATTCGATTCGACTGGAGCGAATTCCTAGTATCTCGAGGACTCTTCCCGAGGCAGGACAAGATGTTCGTGGATGCAAAGCCGTAAATCTCTCGGTGCTAATTGAAACGACGACGCGCGAAGAAAACGACTGGCGGCGATGAGAGGATCGGGATGAGGTCGCGTCTCGTTTCCTCGACAGCACGACGGGCGAGGAAATTTTTTTTCACTTTTCCCTTCCCTACCCGCGTTTTTTTTTCTTCCTTTTTTCCATCCTCTCTCGCATTCCGGAGTTTCGCAACGTATATATTCGTTGAAGTGCCACGAGCGGCGTTCGGTTTCATACTAGCTGCAAAAAGGATGACAACGTTCGTCTGTATCACCGTCGAATAAAGATGACGGGTGGGAGGAAAGTGTTGCGAAAAAGAATTTCTTGCATCAATTCGTTGTAGCTTTTCAACTTTGTGGCGGTTTTAAATATATCGGCAGATATCTTCTTGCGTTTAACGCGCGCCTCACCAACTTTAATTTATTAACATTCAACAGATATGTTTTTGACATTTTTGCGCTCTTGAGACGTATTCAATTTATTATACATATATTTGTACGCCAGTAAATTTCTATGAAAAAAGTATTGTTTTTGACGACACGTATGAGAATCACAATGCATAGTTGAAAAGCTCTGTGCTCTTTCTTTTCGCGCGCCCTTACTCTTCGTCCAAAGATCAATCCTTTGATCGACCGCGTTGCACAAACGCAGCGGAAACAGGAAGGATAAAGAGTACGATGAAGAAATGGAATAAGGGAAGGAAAAGAGAGAAATGTGGCTCGGATATCTACGTGAGACGTTTCGGACGTGATCGCCCGGAGGTAAATCTACCCCGCTTTTATTTTCGATCCCTTGAATGCCCTTCACTTTCCCCTTCTTTCGTTTGCATCTCGAGTGGCTGCTATTCATTCGCGAAGGCTCTCTCGAAGCCACCGGAGCACCCTCGTAATCTCCGGGTTGGAATGCAATCATTTGGGATGTGCCGTGATTCCACGAGAATACAAATTCAACCGGCTCGTTTCTCCTTCCGGAGCGCCCAAGCGTGAGCGATCTCATATTTGATAATGGCGCCTTGGATTTTTTTTTTTTCATTAACGTCTTGTCTCTTTGCTTCTGCGTCCTCCAAATCCTTTTTATCACCGGTATTCTCTTAAGGAGCTTCTTTTAATCGTTCAATTACACGCAGGAAGGCCGGGTTTTACAGCAGATGCGCGCGGCGCAAGCCGAGCTCGCCACTTGCCCCAGGTCGTAATTATCAGGCCGCGTAACGTATCGTGCCTCATTAAACCGAGCTGTAAAGTTGGCGCTAAGGAAACATGAAATCCTCGTTGGGACAACTTGTTGCTGTCGTAAAAAAATCATTTTCTTCGGGACGTAAGCGCTCGTTTACGATATAGTCTTTAAACTTTAGTGCCACTCGCTTGAATCGCGAGTTCTTTCACACAAGCTCAATTCGTCGCAATTATTCTCCAGGTTTCTTATCCGTGACGGTAAGACTGTCGCAATTGAATGGCGGTAATTGAATATAACGTCTATCGGTGATGCACAAGCGGATAGAATATATAGTACGTTAATCGTTTCACATGTGACACAATAACTTGCGGATCACTATAGATAACAGTATCACTCTATATCTCGCCTTTGTCGTTTTTCAATTTATTCCGTCGCAACAACGACAAACGCGAGTAATTTAATTAGCATTATGATATTGTCATGGCGCGTGTGTCGCAGCAGAATATTAACTGTAATAACGGCAATACGTCACAATAATTTCAATTAGCATGATCTAGTTGCCTGTGTTTCATTGTCGTATTAAATCTGTTATTTACTGGTAAATTGGCAAGTGAAATTTGTTATCGCGACTTTTAATTTATTAATTTATTAAATATTTAATTAATTTCCAATTGTTTATTTTTGCACATTACATATTAATTACAGTGGAAATGAGATCACATTTAGAAACGTAAATAGAAATACTAATTATAGTCAATATTATATCTATTACGATATAAGTGTTTCACACATAACGAATAGGGAAGCCCAATGTACGGTCAGGATCTTGGTGCTTCTATTATTTTCTTATGTGATTTTATTTTACGTATCCTTCGACGAAACTGCGTGCCGTTATTTTCGGATTCAACGCAACCCCTGATTGAAACAGGACCGTATTATCACGTATTAAATTGCTAATCAATTTAATAAGTACTTGATGCTCACTTGTATCTAATAAATCCTCCCTCCTAATTACATCAATAATTTTTGCAACACTATAATTACACTAATTATATAGTGTTGCAAAAAAATTAAAATCGGAAATATCTATTTAAATTTAAGCGGGTTGAAAAGAATTTATTCAAGAACCACGTTGAAAATGTTGAAATATACATTTTGTTAGACGAAGTATTTCAGGGAGGGACTCGCGATTTCCCTTTACATTCTACAAAGAGATGCCGCTGTTTAAGAAGGAATGCGACCATTGGCGCATGCATGTACGCATAATAACGATGTGTCGAAGTCGCGGGGAAGCTCCGAGGGTATTTATTTGCAAACCTGGTATACAAGCGCGACTGGGCTGGCTGTTGTAGCGTTCGGAGGGACCTCTCGACAACCGCCACTTAAGCGAAACGCCGGAGGGACGGCTTCCTTCCCTCGTGTTCAATTAGCGCCGTGCACGAAATATCAATTCCATCGGTGGAAAGCTTCTCATTCAACGTAGACCGAGTGCAAATCTATAGCAGTGGGGAAGGGGGAGGGGAAGGAAGGAAGGAAGCATCCAGACATCTTCGCCCGATAGAGAATTATTGTTAAATTTAATTAAAAGTTTCTTGTGTTTAATTTAATAATATGCCATAAGTGCATTAACAACATCTGGATCTCCGTTAAACTTGGTTGATTAATTCTACTATTCAATTGGATTCGCATATTAAATTTAATTATGTTCGATACATGAAATTCTGTTTTCGATGAATATATATGTATGTCATCCCAATTCGGATACCAATATGATATGCTTAAGAATGAATATTATTATTCAATGTTTGTTAAATGAATCTTATGACTTTTTTATTCATGACTAATTGACTTTCTTTAAAATATCCCAGGATTAAATATAATATAGCAATATATAAGTAATTATGTCAGAAATAACTGTATATACATTTAAATAACATATATTTTAAGTGACAGACCTATATTACAGTACTTTAAATTTTGTAGTGCATTTTCTCAACTTTAAAACTAAACGAAATTCAATCGAATTGCTTTAATGATTCATGCTATCGCAAGGAATAAGGGTTTCTAAAATTTAGTTATAGTTAAAAATATCTAATAATAATCAAATCGGATATATTTAAAATATAACGTTTGAATTACCTTCAAGGCTGATAACTTTTTAATACATTTTATTTTAGATTCTAACGCTCTTAATTTTAATCGCGTTCTTATTCTCGTTTCATACAGTTCTCAAGATTTCAATGCTGTATAAAACGATATTTCTCAAATAATAACAGAACAGTAACAATATCATATAACCGCATTTCGACACGCGGATTAAATTTTGCGGTTTGCTTCCTCGATAGTGACGTTAATCTAATTTCGCGTGTGGGCGTTCATCCGTAAGTAAACCTTTAATTGTGCTGCAGCAGAGCGTAGTACGTTGTATAGAGATACGTATAAATACTGCATCCTTTCAATTCAGAAGAATTGACAATTTATTGATTCGATTTAACTCAACGTAACGCACAGCTCAAAATTTCCATCGCGCTCGACCGTGACGTTTTTCGCGAATGTCGAATTGTGCAATTCGAAATGCGCGACGTGTGAAGTAATTCAGCCTCGATCTTACCGGCGTGGAAGGGGGGGGGGAGGGTTTATCGTATTTACGATCTTAAATCCAATTAGAAAGTTACATTTTGTAGTTGGCAACAATGTTTCGCCCTCTCACACCTGCCCTTCCTAACTCGCATTTGTTTTGCGTTCAGCTTTAGGGCATATCTACCTCATTCCTCGCTCTCCCTCTCCCCCTTTCTCTTAACGCACCCCTTCTCCGCATGTTTCCCACGTATTTACCTTCTACATTAATAATCTCTCGTTTGCGTTGCAGAATATGGACGTAGCCAAGGCCTCCGAGCGTCTTCTCAAGCTGGCGGTGAGTATGCACATATGTCTACGTATACACGTGCAAATTTATAAGCGCGTACCGGATGTGTCCGAAGCAGGTTGTAAGTCAACAATTTTCAACGCTTTGTCGTGACATAAACTCGTGAAGGCGCCCTCAAAGTTGTCAAATATTTTTCAAGTCACATTTTTCATACGTCAACATTATTGCGAATATAAGTATTATTGTTTGCGAATACATAATTTTCTATAAAATTATTAAACATCAATATTATTTTAACATCTATGCTTTTAAGCTAAAAGGGATATGAAGATAATAATATAACAGAAATTCAATCCTAGAAATTAATTTTTTTCTTAAATTAATCGCAATTTGAGTTTATCGTCGTATTGATACTATTTTTATATTTTACTTGTGAAAGAAAGAGAAAAAGAGTTGGAGGTATATAGATACCTCCAACTTTCAATGCTAGATTTTCGCCCTTTTTCCCCGAGTACGGTACGCCTCTTACGAGGAAAGTCTCGAGGCAATATTTGCGAATTCAATCTCTCCCCTCCCGCAACAAAACGCAGTTTCCGCCTGAGTTTTGCCACGGCTACGAGCTCGTTCGACGGAAAACGCGGGACAGAGAAAACTTGTATCGAACTACGTCGTCGATAAATGCTGCCGCTTAATATAACGCGTTGTAAATCTATTCCGTGCAAAAGTCCGCACGCTGGCGTTAACTTTCTTGTGTGCGACGTTTACCGGGGAGGAGGGGGGAGGGGAGGGGGGGACATAATCCAGGATGCTTATGAGATAGAATTTCCAAACAGATAACGTAGAAACAGAATACTCGAAATCTTTAGGACTATTCGTAATTGTTGATATTTCGCCGATGTGATGCTGCAAATTTTATTCGTCAGTTTATTCACTTATGCTCTTTCGACGTTTCTTTTTTCTTTATCTAAAAGAATAGAATGTATGAGGAACGGTTAGCTTTAATGTTCCCGGTTAGAGATCTTTACTTTACGATAAGTTGGATCTGTTGCACGTCGGAAAATAAAATAAGCTATCCGCGGGAACGTGAAATAGGAATGTTGTGTTTCTTCACAAGGAAGAGCGTGCCTGGGAAGGGGTACAGAGAGAAGATTCTGTAAGAGCTTCGGGGCTCGCGCGCAGAAAGTACGCCGGAATCTATGAATTCCTGATTTAAGTTTCGTCGTGCGTCGGCCGTATTCCCGTGACGCTTCCGAGTGAAATATGCACGCCAGGCGATGGAAAAAGGTCGTTTGTCGCCAAGTCCGCAGGGAGATCGATGCACAACGATATGCCGAAGATGTTTCGATACTTCCGATTCGACTGTTTTTTCTGCCGCTATAAAAGCAGTTGCTGGAAAGTGAACATCGAAACGGTATAAATCTATATAAAGATAGAACATAATCTTTTTGGAATAATAATGTCTGTTATGCATTTTTACAGAATCAATAGAGGAGCCTTTACTTTTAACGGTAGCTTCTTTGTTGAATTTCAACAGTCGATCTTTTTCCTCGCCGTTCCAATCTTTAAAATATTGATAATGTTGGGAAGAAATTTTTGTCGGAAATAAATCTTATCTGAAATTATCTCAGCGTTATAGAAGATTAATTTCCGATATTCAAGCTGTATAGCTATTTGTATTTTCTGTATCTGCAGTTGAAGGGACGTTCGATTGCTTTCTCCGCACATCGAGAACGTATGCAAAAAAAAAAAGAGAAAGAAAAGGGAGAAATGAAAAAATGAACTGATATGCGCGATGCCAATAGTTTGTTCATGCGAGCGCTCATCGTGTCTTTTTATTTTCGCGTTCTTCTTGCATCGCGCGCCGACACGCTCCGCTACTCCTCGACGTTCAGACCCGGCCCGAGTGATTCCGCGTCCGTTCGTTCGTCGTTGCTTGTTATTCTCTCGTTAGCCCAGTTGCTCCGGATCGGAACTAGCCGGCCGTAGTGTTTCGAGTGCTGGACGGAGTCCAGTGAACCGAATTCAATTATATAAATTCGTCCCAAAGCGACTGTCCTCGGAAGCGTGTATAACGGTGAGGCGCGCGCGCGGCAAGCCAGCCCCGTCGCGTCGCGTCCGGCCGTTCGGTAGATGTCGATTACTCGCGATTAAAACAGCAGACCGACGGTCGTGCATGACCGAGTTTTGTTATGGAACTTTCGTTCACTCCACGTTAATTGATCCGACTGTGCTCCACTGTTAATTATCGGCCCGCTCGTCGACTCGCGCCACCGACCTTTTCCTCCGAGGCACTTCGACGCGCGATTATAACGCTGACGTGAAATAAATGTATTACATTTACGAAAAAAAATCTTAAATACGGCTGTAATTTGCTTTAGCGCATAGTAAAATCCAAGTCCGTTCGTTAATTTAACTATTTTGTTCATGATACATCAAAAGTCAATAAAGTACGACGAATTTGAATTAGGTCAGTTAGTAAACAGTACTAAAATAAATTTAAACGCTCAAGAAAAAGAAGTGTCCAAATACGCTTCAACCCCAGAACTCTTTCTAGACCAGATCAAAGTCTCAAAACAATACTGACATCAGCTATTGAAAAAAACCCTCAGCGTGTCTTTTAATAACATACGACGGAGAGAGGGAAAGCATAAACACACATACACACACATACACACACACATACACACCGGCTTGAGGGCAAAATAAATTTCGCCGTGTCGAAGTAAGATTTCTTTCCACCAAGGCAAAGCAAAGGGTTGCTCATTTGCGACAGCCGCGACATTCTGTTTGTCCTTGCGCGCGCGGAGGAAAAATAATTGTTTGCCGATCGACGGACCGAGTCCGTCCCTCAATCTTTTGCGCACCCTTACTTTTCGTTTACACCGCAAATAGCCGCGAGGGACTGGGGATCAGTGTGACCGTCGTGGGTTAATTGCGGTTCTTATGTACGAGGGTGGCACCGGAAGAAACAGGGCGGAACTGCAATGCGGGACGGGACTTTAATCTCGTCGTAATGGGGAAACGCAATTTTCCCGCAGTCCGCCTCGCCAATGAGGCCCTTTCTCTCTTTTGCTCCTCTCCTCCCCTTGTCTCTCTCTTTCTCGGCTCGATCTCGCCTTTTGCACACGCCCGCGTGTCAGTGCCTCGTTCCGAAATCCCTTTGACTTTGAAAATCACCCGAAGTGCAAAACGGCGGTAATGGCCGATTACCCGGTCGCTTTTATCTATCGATCACGAGGACTGCAATATAATGATGGACCAGCTGGACACAATCTAATTTCTGACATGTAATCCTCGACGATTTAAATTCACGCCCCAGTGAATATAATATAATTTATGCAACTTTTGATGACAATTATCGTCCCAGGCAACGAGAAGTATCAAAATGCTGATGCCGTTATCCCTATTATCTCTAAAATATTTTTCAGGCGAATTATAAATAGCCAAATATTCGCAACTGATCAATATATTTATCCTTAACACTGATGAGTCTTTCCGAACAATCTTGAGTGGCAACTTCGATTAGATTCACCATTTGCATACTTTGTGAAATATAGCCCCACCTCTCCTACTCGCAAGCCAATAGCCGGCTCTCGATAAAGTTAAAAAATTCAATCCGTCCTCATTTACATTCTCTATCCCGACCGTTATTACTGGGTTATACCTTTCACATGTTAATGTCCTTCCAGACCTAGTAAGCGTAAACGTCTCCGATAGACAGGTACACGTCGTGGCACCCTCGGGACACGAAGAGAGAATGGCAGTTGAGAGGAGGAGGAGGGGGGGGGAGGGTAACGTCAGCGATCGGGAAGAAAATGGAAAATATCGATTGCCAACGTAATGCGATGCACGCGCTTAGGCAGGTCGACTTACTTCCCTACTTTTTTCTCCCCTCTCTCCCTCCTCGCAACGACTATTAATGACGCGGATGCGCCGATCCGTGCTACGCGCATGTAGAAAATCTCGCGGATCGTCCGCCGCACCTCGTAATACGATATTCCTGCATTATCGATGAAAATCGACTGCCGGATGGTGCACGTAAGCCAAGCACGCATTAATGTTATGCGGCCGGCGATGGGATCAAGCACGAATCGAACGGTATTGCTGGTTTCTTGCGCGGGGATCGATGTTTGAGCTGCGCGCATCAATATGAATGAACGCGCCCTTCTGTTCGCGCGACTCGCGGATGGTATTTTATACGACTCTTTGCTGATTTCGGTATTATATTTCTTCCTTGAATATCTAACATCGACCAGTAACCTGTGTATAATTAACACACGAAAGAATATAATATCTGTAAACAAAAAAGAGACAAATTACGAGTATGTATATTTTTGATAATGATTAAATTTCAATTCTAAAGAGAAATCTGAGAATCCAGAGATTGATATGTGTCTAAATAGTTACTAAAGAATTCGAAGCTGTATAAACACGATCTATACGATACAAACGAGAATTGAGAATTAAAGAATTGAACATCTTGAGAAATCAACATTTTTCCGTTGTCAAAGTTTCTCGTCGATACGCCATACACATACGTATCCTTTGAGCGCGTTCGGTCGACAAGATTTTACATCTCTCAACTGCTTGGAGAGAAAACTCTTCTTTTTTAGATAGCCTCTGGCCAAAAAAGCCGCTTAAAGTTTACCGCTCTTTCCCTTTGTAGTATCGTCGACGTGTCTCAAACGATTCACTGGCTTCTGCTGTAGTCCCCCTTGCCACTATCATCTTCTCTCCCCTCTTTCCGCAGATCTCATCCCTGTCTCCCTCTTTCTCTCCCCTCCGGTAGCATCCCCGAATAAACGAAATTAAAACGCCGAGGTAAGTTTTCCCGGACTACGTGGACGCCGGAAGAGGCTGCTATAGGAAACCGGGAGGAAGTGCTGAGGTGGCTTTCAGTCCTTTTTTCGCGAAAGTCCTACGGAATGCCTCGCGGCGCAAGAGACTTGACCTTTGTGCCTGGCAACATTATTAAGTCCTTTGCCTCGCGTGAGAGGGCTCGGTAGAAGCACGCGGATGATACCGCGACTCGGCGGCCCCGAAATGGCATCCGAAACGAAATAACTTCGAAATTCTTCGTCATGAAAGCGAGCGGGGCGGTCCGTCGAGAAATTTTCGCGAAAGTATTTGTCTGATACTGAGGTCGAGCTCATACTCGGGTTTTTTTTTCCACCTCTTCTTTTTCTTCTCATCGCTATTTCTTTGATGCGAAAACATTTATTTCGGTTGTCGTTGCGCCACAAGGGACATGAACGTCGCGGCATAGAAGAAAAACAATCAATCTTAAAGTTGTGATAAAAGTTAAAAAGAACGTGAAGAATGAAAATGATAATAATATACCTTTATAGCGACGAAATCACGACATGTTGTTTTCCCTCTGATTTTTTATTAAAATCAGAATGTTATTAAAAAAGAAAAAGAATATTAAAGAAAAATGTATATAGTTACAACAGAATAGGCAAGGACTTTTAACGTAGCGTCGTATTATGAACGTGATAAATGATCAAAGGCTCGGTCTAAGTTACTTCCATTAAAGCGTAATTAAAGGAACAGACGGGATAATTTATAAGTTCGTTATATAGTCGCCTCACTTTCATCTGCAGATGCGTAAATAATACTGTAATACACTCGTCTCTCCACTCCTGATTATCCTCGTTTCAGTTAACTTTTTTGGCGTCATTATGGGGCGTCGCATTTTATTCAGTCCATTAAGAACATGATACATATTATATGTGTGTATGTGTATGTTTGTGTGAGAAAGGGGAAAGGAAAGAAAAAGAGAGAGAGAGAGAGAGAGCTTTGATAAATTTTTTTAATTTTTTATAATCGCGGCTCTTTTCCTTGCCGTTTGCATTTCAAACGCATCTTACTGCTCTTATACCGTGTTTCTCGTTTACGAATTTTATGGGAAATAGCTGTGCAAATTTCTCACAATAGGCGGAGAATATGGAAATATGAAATTGTATGCTCTAATGTTTTTTTTCTCAATAAATATGTCTACTACATTTAAGTAAGTCTCAGAACTTAAATATCTTGAGAAAGAAAATGTCTCTTGTAATGTTTAATTAGGAAAATATATATGTGATTGTAAGGAATACTAAAAATGTATTATTTAAAATAAAATCTATAATAAAATAACATTATTTCACCATGTTGTAGAACTTATCAATTTTCTATCAATAGTGTTTATGGAAATTTATATTGTGTTCAGTAAATAAAATCATGATTATATTTCTGAATCTAATAATCCATATGGAATCGCGTTTTTAATACAGTGCTAATACAGTATGGTACAGCTATTAATACAGTAAAAATTGATATTTTCTAATATTACACATCTGGTATTTTATTTGCAAAAATAAATAATCGAAATTCCGAGCTCGTAAAATATTGACAAAGTCATTCTTTATGTTAAACAGACTGGATATTTCTACTTTTGACATGCGGATTAACTTTTTGCAGCGAGCTCTTTCTTCTTCTGTTGTAAATGACATTGTCGACATTGCGACTTTAGTGTAATTCTAACCATTTATACTTACATGTTAAATTTTTATTGTTTCAGATACCAAATCATCTAGTATGGCTTTGCTTTTTCTATCTGATATTTCACTCCTTCCTCAATCTGTTAGGCGAGCTGCTACACTTTGCAGATCGGAATTTTTACTGCGACTGGTGGAACGCCAACAATATCGATACGTTCTGGAGAACATGGAACATGCCGGTGCATCGCTGGGCTGTGCGGTGAGTAAACTGTTCATAGCAACACTTGATATCAGAAGCTTCTCTATTTTGGTTTTTACAAAATTGGTCCAAAATAATTTTCCAAATGTGTCAATGTTATTATATAGTCAATGTATAAATGAATAACATGGTAATAATTAATAAGAATGGAATGCGAATTTTACGTTAGCAATAACTATTCTAAAATTTCGATAATTGACATTCAATTATATGCTTCGTCCGAAGTATTATTAATTAGCTGGCAAATCTTTATTTATTATTGCCGTTTTTAGAAACGATAACGTGATTATCATAGTATTTTTGACATAATTCATAATTGGATGATTTATTACGGGATAACTTGATATAGGTTTATTAAAAAGCTCATTAAGAAGAGGTATAATAAAATGGTAGCTACGATCGAAATATATATCTATAGATCGTCGTTTATCGAACAAAGCTTAACGTAATTAGTGATCAGATGCGCATAAAATGCACGCCCAGATGTTTCCGATGCATGGAAACTTCTCTTCCTTTGCACAGACTGAACGTTAGATCACGTTATTGGCGAAAAATGTAATTGAATCTTCTTAAAGAGGAGCATACTTATTAATGAAGTTTAACCTCGGTTAGATTGAACAGAGGAAGTTGATCAAAGGTCCAAGGCTTGTAGTGACGGCCTCATCTCTTCCACTTCTTCTCCGTTTTTATCTCTTTCTCTCCCTCCCTCTTTTTCTCTTACCGCTCCCTTATGCTATTTACCCTCCGCCATCTCTCCGTTCCGTAACACTCAGCTTCTCGCGTACCTGCCGCGAACCATAGAAGGAAAAACTCTTCCGGCGCTTTACTTTGCACCTTTGACTCGGCTGTAGAGATAACATGATTATATAATAATGCAATACGTATCTCGCTGAGGTTATTTCATATGACTGTCGTTTCAACGTAAAACATTTGTGTATCGTCTCAGTAACGTAAACATGTCTCACCTATTTACGTACAAACATTAGACAGAAAAAGGAAAATGATGCCACTGGTGCTGGTTGTCTCTGACACTTTTGTGCAGTCAACCCTCTTTGTAAAATTACAAAAATTTTATTAACTTAATAAGTCTGTCGACATTGCGAGACCGGCTTGAGTTTATACGTGCGCAAATTTCCGCGCAGCTATATAGTGTGAACACGTTATTATGTGAGACGTTACACGGCAGACAGTCTTTCGTCTTATAAGAATGAGCTTCCTCGGGAAAACCTTTTATTCCGCCTAAAATGTCTCCTTCAACCCATACATCTCGGGCTGTCGCCGCCACATTAGATTATACATCCCCCCTCCGCTCAATACAATCAGCGAACTTCCGAAAGACTTTTCCGGGCGGGCCTTCCATCTTCCACGGTTACCCATCGCACGTGCACCTAACAACTCGAGCCCATAGTGACGACCTCCTTTCAAGAGCCCGCGCCTGGTTCTTTGTACTTCGGAAGTAGCCCAAAAGAAAGTTTAAATCCCTGTAAAAGTGGCCGTACGAAGTTCTTATTATGTGACCGAGAGAAAAGGGAGAGCCACGGTCGGAATTACCACGTACAAACTGCACGAGGTTTACCATGAATGTCGTATAAAGAGTCAATCTACTACTTTTCGCGTGGGATATTAGATACTTCGCGACGGGGGTTGCCTTGAGATTACTTAATAAGTACTCCGCATTTTTCCTCGATATCTCTCAGAATGTTGGTATTAAGCTCGAATAATATTACTGTTGCGAAGAGACTTAATTTTATCACGGGAGAACCGCGTTGCTCTCGAGTTACTTCCGGCAGACGTGACGTAATGTGGAATAGTAGCCACCGCTGCATAACAAGAGAGAGCGGGATTGTCTTATAACATACCCTTATAAAACGCGACACGTACCGTGAGAATGACTGGCCATGCTCCCTTTTTAAATGACATAAAAATGGAGAAAAATAAGGCTCGCTAAAGAGACGCCGCACGAGTTTCCGCGACGCGAATTTCAAAGTCTCACCCCGGCGCTCGCGCGCTTCTTTTTTACCTCGGCGACGCACCTGCCCGCTTACGGTCGTTCGTTCCTTTCTTTTTTTTTTTTTTTTGGTCGCCACGACCGAGATACGCAGCTGCATTTGCGAGCTGCGACTGGCACGCAGCCATAGTACGCGGCGACGATGCGCGGGGGTGGTCGAGGTGAAAATGGAAATGCTCCCCAGACGACGAGAGGAACGACGTGAAACGCACGGAGGTGCGTCGTTGTTGACGAGAAACGCTGAGGCCGACGCCTTTTCAGGTTTGTAATGGGAAAAGCCGATACGCATCGCGATGCGCACTTAAGGCTGTTTATTCCCCGCGGCGCTTATAATACCTCTATAACTGGGAGATATTCCCGAACGTCGTGCGCGAAAAGGAGTCGACGCTCGCAAGGAGACGCGTCGGTTGAGGGGAAAAGAAAGCACGATGCGGAGGAAAGAGTCTGGCGGCAGCAGCAGGAGTCCTGAGGATGCGGCGAAACGTGCATGGCCCGAAATCCTTAGAACCGTCGTCGTCCCACCTTTGAATGTTCTCTCCTTTCTGCTGCGCTTTCCTCTCATACTCCCTTTTCCCCATTCTCTCTCTCTCTCTCTCTCTCTCTCTCTCTCTCTCAAAACGCTTCTTGCTCTCCTTTCCGATGCATCTCTCCACCGATAGCCAAGCGGCTAACGACTCTTTCCCGAGTTGCCCGGTTCTGCTTGTTCGGCTATACAAACGAAAACGATAATGGTCGAGTGTTGCCAAACCGGAATGTTGTTGAAACTTTCCTGAATATTGCTTTAATTTTTTGGAGCGACTTCGCGCGCCATCGTACCTTTTTGTTTGCCTTATCGGCCTAACGATTTTTGCGTGTATTCCGCGGCACAATCGCCACCGTCTCAGAGAACGGATACCATAGAAATGCGTGTTCCTTTGTGACACTGATAATAACATTGTCGGCATAATAGGCGGACGTGTTCTAAATATCCAAGCTCGTCGCGATTAGAATCGGAGTATTTAATCGATTGAGCCGTTTAGATCGTTTTTCTACTAACAGTGAGTCGAATGTGCAATTTTGCCGGAACACTATACGTGACCGATCTTAAAAAAAAAAAATTGGAGAGAAGCGGCATAAAGAAAAAAAATTTCACATGATTCTAATATATAAATATTTTTTTTACTTTATTTTTTTAACAGAACCCACAGAATAAAAATTTGAAAAATATATTACATTTGAATGCAGTATGTATTTTATTGACGGATACATTTACATATATGTTACAGACATCTCTACATTCCGATAGTAGAGATGGGCTATGGTAAAACCACGGCGTCGGTGACCGTCTTCTTTATTAGCGCTTTCTTCCACGAGTATCTCGTCAGTGTACCCTTGAAGACGTTCAAGATATGGGCGTTTATGGGTATGATGGGACAGGTAAGAACCTCCCGCGCGTTCGCTTTGCGTGTTGACTGTGCAAATATTGACTCTATTGTCAAGAAATTCTTGTTGATTCCTCAAAGACAGCGACTACACACGGACTTTAGACAATTTCAATAATTCTGAATTGCTGAAGATTATCGTTGATCCTGGAAAAGGGACTGAAAAATTCAGTCGAGTCTCTAAAACTTCCAATAAACTGAACGGAATCGGAGCGGAAATGTGTGCAAATTGCTAGAATTAGATTAACCTTAATATAGAGACGTCAGTTAATATGCCTTTAATCGTCATGTAGATTTCATCATATTCCGGGATTTCAGACGTTGCAACATCATTTGCTATGCTTTACATGAAATTACGTGGCGCACTACGTCTTGTATGCACGTACAAGATCCACCCTGTCCGTCCCTAAGTACGGAAATTCCGGTCGTGCAACGCTAATTGTTCATTCTAGATACCACTGTCGGTGTTGAGCAAGATGGCGGAACGATACTGCGGCGCCAGATGGGGCAACATCGTCGTGTGGGCGAGTCTCATCATCGGGCAACCACTTTGTATAATGATGTATTACCACGATTACGTTGTAACGCATTTTGGTGAGACTCTGATCGAGGACTATTCGGTGGTGTAAGGGAGTTAAAAGGGAAAATGCAGAAATGAGGGAGGAACTCTTCGAAGAGAGGGGGAGGGGGGAGGAGGTAGAAACTCGTGATCGAAAGATCTGTTTCGCTTGTCCGCGAAACTGTCGATCACGGATTCACGTGGCTTCCAGCTTGTATTCCGGGCGCGAGGAAATTCCTCGAGTCATCGTCCCGTCGTAATTTAATTGTTTGCTAATCGTTTAATTGCCCATGTGATGATTTACAACCGTTTGTAAGTTTGATAATACAAATGTGCCTTAAACGTAACTTCGCGTTGTTGTGAACAACAATACGAAGTAACGCGAGCGAATGTTGAAGCGAAACCGAGATTGTTCGCGGATCGTTTGAAGATACCATTTTGTTTTATAAGAATTTTCTAGTACATATTTGAAAAAAGAAACTGTAAATATGTATTTACCAGAGTTAGGCGTGTACAGCGGAGCCTTGATAATTTTTGTACAATAGCAATTGTAGTCGCGCGCTTCCACGCCGGAAGAGGCGAAACTGTTGTCGAATAAACAAGATATTTCGCATTGATCTTGTTGAATTTCGTCCCGCGGCCTCGAGAACTGGCCGCAGGGTCACTCGGGTATTATCCTCTCAGCTGGAAACTGAAGGGCTGTCTCGTCGGCCGTTGAAAAGACAGCTTTTTAAGGGCGTAATCCGCACGTTCTTTTTCCTCGCCAATGAGGCGGAAATCATATGTTGAGGGTTTATATTCTTTCTTGATACACATATCCCCCTGTGTACTGCTGAAAAGTAATATCCTTGCTAAATCCACGGAAACGATATTGAACAAAGTATTAGATGAGTCATTAAGTGAAGCTTTTGATAAATTTTAGGTAATTAGGAAGAATTATTTGATTAATTTTTGTAAGCGTTATATATTTTTTAAATCTCTTTGTAATTTTTTAAAATACACACATTTACAGCACATACATTTTTTAAATACTACATTTTTTGAAACGCCGAGCATTACATATTAATTATTACGTAACTATAATATAATCTTCTTGAATAACAGTCACATGTTCTTTCTGTTTGCTTGAGTAAATACAGTAAATATTTCATAATCCATCAATCGAAAAATGTATAAAAGAGATGTTTCAGCGTAGCTGGATAAGCAATTGGTTATCCGACAGAGGTAGTTAGGGTCATGTCACGAACGAAGAAGAGCCTAACCCTCGAAAGAAACACTTCTTTGAACTCTGACCCTTGGGTTTTTTTCCCCCCTGATGAGTCTGGATACTGTGTGTCCCTACGATAAATTAATGATGCTGAAGACCGACGGTCAAAAATACGTTTTGCGTCAAAATGATAGATACAGCACCCAGAAGAAGCGTAAATTAGCGACAGAATTCTGCTTTTAAGGTAAGTCTTAATCACACAATTTATTTCCAGCGAATACACAGAATTTAAACATATTTAAACAAGACTGGCAATATATTATCTAAATTCTAAACAAATAGCAACGTCACACATAAAGGATGTTCTATGTTATCTGTAGCATTACTGTCGCGATATCATATCTTCATCTCTTACGTATTAAGTAGATAAGGATTTTATGAGCATCCTACTGAATGCGATGCGTGTCGCCCTTACTCAGGATCGCAATTTTCTAGAGCGACAGCACGTGTCGTACAAGTATATGTCTCGTCGTAAAGGAAAGTTGAATGTAACATCCTGTAATGTTATCATACGTTGTTGTTCATTCGTCACAGAAACATTAGGTATGCTAAGGTCTAGATGAGTATAAGAGGTATGAAGATTCTCAAAAAGATCTTTTTTCGAATTTAAAAAAAAGCAATCTATATTAATTTTTTTCTACGTGAACATTAAATATTATTGACATTTTTATGGGAAATAGATAAGTTTGAAATAAATTTAATAACATTCAAAGAACGAATAATAATGTTACCTCCGTTCTTTGTGACATTTGAATAATTTAATTTTTTATTACTTCGCATTGATGCAAACGTTATATATTTAATTTTGAATTGGAGAGCTATTGAAAGAAATGACAAGTCCTTGACAATGGAATTTTATGATATTGAGTTTAACTAATTCAATTGTTATTATATTCAATTTTGCAATTTTCCCTTAATTCGCGAGAACAGAAATTTATATCGCGCGAAAGAAGGATACATCTCCGTTATCAAACTTGTCACTGTCGGGAAATCCGCGCTCTATCGATCGAGGGTGACATGAATGTAAATGTCGGAATTAACTCGCTGACATCTAGAAATGCTCCGAACCATTTCCAGAGTTAAAGTTTCTTGTTGCACGGAGATGTATTTTCTCGCTAGCAAGGTACGCACCCAATGTCTGTCGCTGCGCTCAACAAGTTAAATCTTATCAGCTCGCCGGTTTGACTTTAGCGTCATTATAGCGGTTACCTCTTAAATTGGCATTTGCGCCTGACGCGGTAAATAACTTTGTTAGCGCCGAAACTCTCGAGGTAGGGGCACTTTTATCCCTTCAGCAGCTGCATTGTTCCGTAAACTGATACGCGAGTCCGCCTGTACGTGCCGTAAAAGCAGAAATTACTTCTCTTGATACGTGGGACTTTTAATTTAATTGCCCCAACGGGGCGGGAATGCATTGCACGCTCTTAAATTGATCCTATATAAAAACGTTGAAAAAAAGAACCCGCGCGCAAATATCTCGGCCATTTCTGAGGCACGTGGCTGACGTGTACCGCGTTACAATACCTCCGGAAGGGCTTTGTGACGAACGACTCGGCCATTTGCGAGAACGAAGCGTGAAATTCATAAGTACCGGAGCTGTCACGTTAATGTTAATTTAGTGTTGAGTGTCGAGTAAATAAAATGATATAAAAAAAAGAAAGAAAATCTCGCGTGTTGGGTGTCTTGCTGTAGTGCAGGTTTTCGTCATATTTATTTTTTTATCATGGCTTACTCATCCGTTTACCGGATGTCGACGTAAAGTTTACGCAAAAGGTTCAGCCATCAAAGTCCTGTCAGATCTTTGATACGCATATATCCTTGAGACGTATCGTCGTCTGCAGCGACGGGACAACGATAAAGTGGCACGTCGCGATCGCGAGCGCGCAGGATACGGCGAAGCGTATTTTTCCGCTTTAATGCAATCGCAAACAAAGGATTGAGTAACCGAAGGAGCACGAAGAAACCCATTCCCTCGCTCCTACCTGCGAGCTCTGGCTGCGCCAGGCGACGAAGCATCCCCGAAGAATGCATCGGTCGGTCCCTCGAACAAGCGCTCGCGTTATCCCGTAAGGTGGGCCGCGCGAGAGGGTTGGGGATTGCGCGCGAGGCAGAGAAAGAGAGAGAGAGAGCGAGCCGGAGAGGGGGGAACGTGGTGAGAGGGTGACGGCGGCGGTGGTGCGGCGGACTAGGAAGGTGGAAGGGTGGTTAGGGGGCACAGGGGGCGCAGTGCGAGCGCAACACGATGCTATAAGGGCGGGTACGCGGCGGAGTCTCCGCAGTGAGCGTCGCGACGCCTCCGCGGAGAGTGTTGCATGGATCGCACGATCGGTAATCGCCGGTACACGAGGCGTCCCGCTCTCGTCGCGTATTACACTGGCGGTGTGCAGTGCCGAAGGAGTTGTTTCGCTTCTATCGAGCTGCGAACCACCCCGAGGAGAAGAAGGGCGGCGCGCCGGCGGTGTCCCGTACCATAGAAGCTGCAGCTGCGTTTCGACCCGCCCGGAAGAGCTTTCTCTCTCTCTCTTTCTCTCTCTTTCTCTCTCTCTCTCTCTCTCTCTTTCTCCCTCACTCTCTGGATGACCCAGGACGGACTCCGCGTTGGAGCAACCAGGTTGGTTTTTACCGGATTCCGAAAGACACGGGAGGAACGGAACGGGCAATATAGAGACGCGATGTGCTTAGAGCTCGGTTGCGTTCTGCGAAGGGAATGAGTCTGCCCTTTAGAAAACGGTGCATACGCATCCCGGTCTCGCCGGGAAATTTTGCAGCGGCGCGCTGAATAATTGCCGGCATGAATGCGACAAGTGTAATTTACGTTCTATTCAATGAAGACGTGGCACCGTAAACGAGAATGAAATAAGCGAAGGTAAAGGAACAAAGGCAAATCATATTGTATAGTTGTAAAACTAGCCATTCGAGACGTATTTTCTTGCTCTTGAGAAATATTAAGAGAAACCTTTCCTCTGTGACATTGCTCAATGACACTCGTGACAATCATGATTTTGTTCAATTTTTTCCTTTAGTCTCTTCATTCGGTTTTCGATAAAATAAAGCATGTCAGACGTACACATTAATAACACATCAGATACGAAACTTAGAGTCGTAATTATATGAATCAAAATCAGAATTATCATTGAATTTTATTCATTATATGAATACGAATTAATGAGAAGCGAATGTGCGTGGCTTATGAGATTGAAATATTCAATAGCGACGATAATAATGTAAGCGGGAGATAAGTTTGAACGTTGCTTAATGAATAGCGGAAATTTGCAATGTCCTCGTTTACCACGAACATACGCCACTGGCCGGGTAAATATGATTTCCCCGCGATATTTACGCGGTACGAGTGACATGCATCCAAGCAAATCGAGTCGCGAACGGTTAACGAAAACCGGATATACGCTATCCTCGTATCCTCGATGAGCGGACGTATAATAGATTCTTTTTTTGCTCCCGCTCTTAGACGCGACGTTATCTCGTATTTCTCTTCCGTTTTCAATTACGATGCCGCGCTGCAACGTCGCGGTATACGCTCGTTAGAGGTATACGCAGAGAAAAATTCACCGCTAATTAAATGCGCATTGAGCTATCCGCGTTGCGTTACACCGTCGCGAGAATTTAATCCTTTTCACACTGTGCATTTTGCAACGCTTTTTATACAAGTTACCTCACAAATTTTAAATACGGAGGATTAATTCGGTTGCTCAGTATCTCATTTACCACGGTCTGCTTAATATATGATTTAAAGACTCGCAGAGTTAGTATGACAATCGTTTTAGATATGCGAGGTAAATCGAGCTGTGAATTTTTCGTAAATATATAATCGAAAATTTCATTGATTATCACATTTTGAGGTAAAAATATTCCTATACGAAATTTCCATCCATCAAGAATCCTCCATTCAGATGATATAAATAGAGATCTCATAATGGTTTCACGTCAATTTCACACGAGTTTAATATCACTTATTAATTCATGTGCTGCTATTCGGGCACACTAATATGCGATCTACTATTAATATCTTAGTACTCTAATGCTTTTTCAGAAAATTTTCGAGGGAAGGAACTTACGCAAGGTTCCGTTTAAAAATTAATTACTTAGCGCTTGAGTTTACCTTCGGCACTAAATGGCGGCGGTTAGTCCGCCTTAATGCGCTTCGTTTATAAACCCCGTCCAAGATCGATCAGCGTTGCTTCGACTCATCGGTTTTCCTTCTGTCGTTTCTTTCCCATTCCGTACGTCCGATAACAATGACTTGACGTTTGTTAAGAGCCACGCGCAGCAATCTCACGTGCAAGAAAAATGGTACTGCTCGTCCGAGGACGAGGTGTTCACGTTCGCAA